CGGACTACAAGTCCCAGGAGGCCGCGCGGCGCCCGTCGGGAGCGCGCCTGCGCACTGAGCTCCCCGATCCAAGTTTGGAGCTTTTAGCTGCCAGCCCTGGCCCATCATGTAGGTGCAGCAGAGCCTTCCCTACCATTGCAAGCAGGGGGGGAGGAAAACCCCCCACTTTGCAAGCTGCCCTGCAAAGTGTGCAATTGCACGGCCCCCCGCTGCAAGGAGACCTGCTGCAGCAAGTCAGGAAAACTCCAGTTGCATGAAGATTGAGCGCTTGCAGTTTGCATCTTTGTTGCAAAACTAGCTCCAGAAGAGAGGCAAGGCAAAGTCTTTTGTGCTCCCCTCCCCCATCAAAGCAAAGGGGAAAATGTCTCAGTCGAGAGGTAAGGCTCCTACTTCTGTTCGTTGCAAATATGCAAAAAGTCGTGCATGCATTTTTAAGTGCATGCATGCATTTTTCGGGATGCAATTGCATTTTGAAGTTTGAGGCTTTCAATGGCTCTCAGTTGCATTTCCTGTTTAGTATGTGCCTTTTTGCAGACACACACACTCACACACACAGTTCCTGTAAGGCAGGGCTTGCAGTTCAGCTGTGCATTGACGTTATTTGAATTCTTCTGCGGGGATTACTGAGCCCTTTTTGCCTTTTGCACAGTCAGGACAGATAAAGGGTGTTGAAGAGCAGATGCATTCGCTACTGTATATATGCATGCAAAATAGGCAGAATGCACGCGAATTGCAGATAATTTCAAGTGCAAAATTAAATGAAACTTTTAAAGAAGTCTATGGAGGAGATGAAAGGTGAAACTTGAGTGGAGTTACCAGGAATTAAATATATACCTATGTTTCCATGGGAAAGTATTGTTCTTATGCCAGGACTGAGATCATTTTCCACCGATTTCTCCCCCCTTAATATTTGGTAACTTTTGGTCAGAGGCAGCAGTGTGGTTTGTAACACCAAATCGCTAAGAGCATGCAGAGGACTGCTTTATTTAGCATTTAGGAGCAGGGGCTCAGCGCTCCGGATGGAGCGGGAGGGGGATATTTGGGTAGGGGACAACAGTGATTTTTACCAGCACCGTGGGGAAAGCGTGATCTTGCTTTTTAAGTTTATGATTATTCAGAAATTGCTTTGCCCTGTGTCCTGCAACATGGGGGGGGGGGCGCGCTGGAGGATTTAATGTTACAAAAATGCTGTGGGAATGCAATAGCCCCTGCAAGACCAGGCTGTGATGTCTAAGGAGTTGCTCTAGCCATTCATTGTGAAAACAGATTCACACATCTCAGTGCCTGGCCACACAGATGCAGCTTTTTGAGCTTTCTAAACATTTTGATTTCATATTGCAGCTGCTTTTTCTTGCATTTTGCAGCCATCATATTGGGGAACAGGGGGTTGAAAGACATTACATGGCCCAGGTGGGAGAGCATTCTCCATGCCAGGACTTAAGACCTGTATGAAGTCAGTGGCCTTCCACTATGTCTTGCTGGGGGGGGACATGGGAAAGGAGGTGTTTTGGAGAGCTCTTGCCACACAGTTTCCCTTTGCAAAAAAAAGTAAAGTTATTGTATAATTTATTCCTAATTTGGGTTTGCTGCAGTCCTCTTTTCCAGCCAAGTAGAGAATTGTAAAAGTTTCCAAGAAAAAGAGCCAAGGAAGTTTGATAATGCAAAACTGAACAAAAATGATACCCACAGCACATTTGCAGGACACTTGCTTGGGGCTCTCGTGCACCCAGGAGGGTCCCTGCATGCCCTGGCAGGACAGGGCTGTGCTGAGGAAGGAGGTGCTTCTTAAGGAGCCCCCAAAAGTCTTGGAGGTGGGAGACACTGGTCAAGTGGAGCTGGGAAAAAAAAGGAGATCTGCACTGGGGTCACCAGGGAAGGGGAGCAGCCCTGCATGCCTGGTTTAGCATACACCCTGCAGTTCCCAGCACTGGTCTCATCTCATTTTCAGTACCAGGAAAATGAGAAAATGCAAGTAGCCAACCCACAAAATCTCCATGAATGGCATCATTCTTGAATCCTTTTTCCATCCATCTCAAGCTCTGCAATTTGAGTGCCTGAAGCTTGAATTCCTTGCATAGATAACTTTCTCAAGTTCAGCTGTTGAGGCTGAGGTTTTTCTTGGGAAGGGGTTGCAGCTCTCAGGTCTGCACTAAAAGCGTCATTCTTCAGGATGAGTTAAGCAGGGTATAATCTGCCTCTTCAGAATCAGCTTGCTTGTACTGCATGGGAGGTCACTCTTCAGGTAAAAAACACTAGAAATTTAGCTGCCAAGCTGTGCAGCCTATTCTCCCTATTTTGAGTTGTTGCCAAAGTTGTTATGAGAAGTTGGCAGAGACCTTTCTAATGCTCCTTGTTAGGGGTACAGTAGATGGGTCATTCTTTAGTAAGACATACTCCATGCAATGAAGTCATCCTAGCTAAGGGCACAAGATCACTCCTCAGACACTGTTTGAAGGAGCTATTGCCAACACAGCCTTAGAAAACTTTACCTGAGGTTGTGATGCAACAGTTTCACTCTTGTTCTTTCCATAGCAGAAAATAGCAGATGCTCACAGCATCTCTCGCAATACCCAGCTGCGTTATCAGTGCTCTGCAGAGAGACTTCCTAAGACTGTGGTGAACACAATACAGACCAAGGCAGAAAGACTACTGCCAGCACAAACCCCTATATTCCAGGGCTTTCTCATTTCTACTTTCATTCCCCTTTAAGTTGCAAAATGGTGTTTAGGTGGACAGAGCAGCGTATGGAAGATACAACTCCCCCAAGCACAGATCATGCACGCACTCCATTCCTTACCTCTGGAGTTAAGTTCACTCCAGACAAGTGTGAATTGGTTTTGATAGTAGTTCAGAAGAAATTGAATTGTTGCCCAAATATGGAACATTTGGCTGTCATGACTAATAGGCTATTTTTCTGGAAGAGGAAAAATGCAGAGGTCCATATTAATTACAAGCTAAACACAGTTTGAAGCTATAAATCTGAACTCTTGTGACAACAGATACATTCAAGAGTCTTCCAAATTCATTGTAATGGATGAATTATTCACTTAAGCCTGCATCAGAAAAAACTGCAAATATGCAAATTTCTCAATTGAAATTGCAAAAAGGAAGGGGATAAGTTCCCATTAGAGCACTAATTCATAAACAGTTCATTGAAGTGAGGTACATTTAACTACTAAGTATTGCTATTCATTGATCTCATTCCTAACTCTTGCACCTGGTTGTTTCAAATATGATTTTTTTTGCTCTCTAGGCTCAAAAGGGATACTGAAATTATGAGAAACATGTCCCACGTGATGTTGGCTGAACATGTACCCTATGGACTTTGATCAAAGGCACTGCACCTATTCAAAATACTACCTTTTAAAGTACTCTTTTCCCCAGCTAGAAGCATCAATGGAACAGATGTAAAACCTAAAGGGTAACTTAAAAAAAAGCATCCAGAGTAGATGGCAGGTTTTCACTAGTATAAAATTAACCTTTCAGCATTGTGAAGATCCCCTTTGGTTGTGCAATGTGCAGTTTGCCTAGTCAGCAGCACCTCTGAGCTTCTTGCCATTAACACCCTCCCCTTACAGTATCCCTTGGCAGGGAGAGGGTCTGCAAAAGCAGGGTGCACAAAGACATGCCACAGTCAGCAAGGTGCCAGTCTAGCAAGGCCTGGGCTAGCAGGAACCACCAATTGCAATTCAAATTTGATTTTTTTTTTTTTAAAAGAGAACTTAAATTCTCTTCTACCTTGTAGCCCATACCATGGGCTGCAGTTGCGATGGAGCATGTCTATGCATGCTTTGATCCAGAGGAGGGTCTTGAGGTCCTGCAATGAGCAGCAGCCTGGGTGGCTGCAGGGGGTAGTACTTCAGGTTGCAAGAAGCCAGAGCACATTTGCAGGGTGCCCTGTCCCTGCAGCTGCCTGGCACCTACTGCACAGGTGCTCATGGGGACAGCAGCTCCCCAGTGCTGAGCAGACTGCTCAGCAGCCCCAAGGACACATTTACAAGCATGTAAAACTTGAACTGTAGAAGTAATTGTAGCAATAAAAGCAGCAAGTTGCAGAGGAAAAAGAGTAGACTCCTCTCCACTCAAATAAGTGGAGATCTCCCACCACACTAGTGCTGCTCATTTGTTACTTTTAGCCACCAAAAACCTGAACTTCCTCTGGGGCAAGTTTCCCCCCATGCCATACACAGGCTAAGGTGAAGTGAGTGATATTCAATTAAAACCACAGGAACAATTTAAAGATGAGACATTTGATTCTTCCGAGAGCATTGGCATTAATGGAATACAATTACTTTGAAAGTCACATGGGTCATTTGCCAATTCTACATGTACTGTGGCTACAAAAATAACCAGGATGACTAAAACTAGTTTTCTCCAGTATGTGCATTCAGTGTCAGTTTCCCTTGCTGAAAAGAGCCACAGGACATTTAAAACCATCTCATCTAACACAAGGTCCTCTCCTTTAAGGTGTTCAAGAATTATATGATAGCACTAGAAGGAAAATGAAGAACATTGGATCTTTCATAGCACAGGAGCAGGAACTCCCTTGCAGGTCTCCTCTGCAAAAGTGCTTTCAGGACCACAGTATTGTTATTCCATTCACAGCTATTTCCTAACCCTCTTCCCCAGGTTACATGCCTGCACCCTGCAGACTTGCATTGTCTGCCCTGAACCCTCCCATCTCACAGCAGCTGTTTGCTTCAGCTTCAAAACCCAAGGAGAAGCTCAACATCTCTACTCCTGGTTCCTAAAAACGTTACCATGCACACAGCACACTGTGATCGTAGTGCAGGCAACTGGTCCAGGCAATGGTAGCACTTTGATGGCAGCAGATAAGAAAAAATAATTCTGACCACCTAAAGTAAAGGCAGTGGGCTAGAAGTAGAGCATGCAGATGTCACTGCTGTCACTCCTTTTGGGGACAGTCAATACATTGGAAGAGTTTGGCAGTATATCCATACAGCTACTAGGCTTGCTGAAGCAGCATCATTATGTAATAGGTTGAATCAGTCTTGGGTGGCTGGATAAGTTGCAGGACTGTTCCTCAAATTTTAGACATGGCCAGAGCTATAATTAAAAAGTTTCATTACCTGTAGAGTTACTTAGCTCCCTTCCTTAGGGCCTGTCTGGGAATAGTTTAAGAGATTAGCATTATCTGCTTTAGTGCTAACACTGCTCTAGCTGATCTAGGACCCTGGACTTGTGCCACATTAGATATTATGTTCTGCGGTGAGAGCACTGGTGAAGGCCATTCAGTAGACTGGCCATATTTACTCTATGCAAAAAAGTTTTTTGCTTTTGTCTTCCAAATCCACATTTTCTATGTGGAAAAGTGCAAATAGAAAAGCATCTCTTCCACATGGTAGTTCTGGCTCAG